ATTTTGAAATCCAATAGATCATTGATTAAATCGTTCCTTTTGTGCAAAATTTTCCGAAAATGACTAAACAACGAAGGAGATACCATATGGTATGGAGTTGGTAACGAGAGGGATGAAAAAAAATTTCTCAAAAAATATTGAAAATGGATATCATTTTGTAGAGCACAACGAACTCGTTCCATCTGTGCAAAAAAGATTGAAATCCAAGTTAGAATGAAGAAGATATGATCCAATTAAGATAACTAGGAAAAATAAATACCTTTAATTCTCCACCCTTAGATCTGCAGTCACTTAAAAGAAGGGTCCAGATTTGGTTACTCATTGTTACTCACCCTAAGGTTATTCAGCCTATCTTGAGCCTGGGAATGGATCAGGTCAGTACCTTATGGTGAGTAACCATGAGTAACCCGTCCACATCAGCATGACATCAGCATCCCTCTCTCTCCTGGAAAGCCTTTAATTTTCCCCTCCTTAATCATTGACGGACGATTTCTCACTCGTTTTACGTCAAAATTTAATCTTTTTTTGCACAGTTAGATCAGATTAATTGTGCTCTTCAAAATTGTTCGAAAAATATATCAAAGTGGATATCATTTTGAAGAGCACAATTAATCTGATCAAACTGTGCAAAAAAAAAAAATTTCGACTTAAAACGAGTGAGAAATTGTCCGTCAAAGATTAAGGAGGGGAAAATTAAAGACTTTCCAGGAGAGAGAGGATGCTGATGTCATACTTATGTGGGCAGGTTACTCATAGTTACTCACCATAACTGACCTGATCCATTCCCTATGTTGCTCTGATGATCGAACCCACATTGTCGTTTTGGTGGAACGAAGCTCTTTTCCTACTTGGCTCTTTCAGACGCTAAAAAAAGAGACCAAAAGTTCGATCCTTTCTGAGTAATTTGAGTAGCAAAAAAAAAAAAAAAAGTTTTCTTTCTTTCTTCTCTGTTACAGTTAACCTTTGATCTTTTGATGGCTTGGCTTTCTGATGTCAAATTTAGAAACCCAGTTTTTGCATGGTTTGATTTGAGCCATTTCCTCCAGAAAGTTTGTATCTTTGGCTTCCGTATTGGACTGTCCTTATTGGGTTAATTGAAATTTCAAAAGCTCTCTCTTTACTCTAATCTCTCTCTGCGCGGGATTCTGTTTCTTGGGGGTGTGGAATACTTGGAAATGAATGGGAATGAAGGGGAAGAAGAAGAGCAACCTGGTTTCGAGATAGGCTTGGTGGTTCGAAACAGAATTCTCAAGCAAGAAGATGACAATGTCGATTGCATTGAGGTTCTCCTTAAGGAACTCACACATGTTGGATTCACCGTCGTAAAGGTTCGTGGCTTCACAGATGGATTCATCAAGGTTGGTTCTTTGCCCTTTTTCATATGCATTTTTTCTATGAAATATCATGTTCATTTGTGTTGCTATAACCAATCGGAATATATAGCAATGACATTTTCATGGAGAGTTCTTTCTTCCTTGTTTGTCTTTGTTTCAGCTGTCTGCAACTCTGGAGAGATTGGGACAGGCTGCAGCAGATTTGCAGCTTAGGAAACCTACTTACATCGGTAAAAACAAATTACATTTCACTTGGTTGCTTTCAAACCTTTCCATGATTTTCCTCGAATTGACCATGATTTTATTGTATTACTACATTCAGGAATCGATCTCCCCTTTCAGTGGGAGGATGTGAATGCATTTGTGAGACAGCCAGATGGCAAATTATTCAGCTGGTGTGAACGTTTCAGGTGTTACCAGCACATGTTGTATGGCATTGTAAGAACAATAGTTTCTAATTTACGAACCAATTCTAAAATGATATGAAAGTGTCATTATTTGTTTGTGAAACAAGTACATAGTCGAATTTACTTGATTTCCTATAAATCTACAGCGAAACAGAAGGCAGTCGGACATAATTCTAAAACTGGATGGAAGAGAACTAGTCTGGAAAATCCAGGAACCTTTACTGAAGACCTTGGAATTTGAAGGCATGGTCAAGCACGTTTTCCCTCTTCACGGTCCGTATATACTTAACTTTATCATTAGAACGACTAGCAGCAACTTAACTTATGATGTTTATTGCTAATCATTTTCTGGTTAGACGAGGTTAAGAGGAAGAAGCTCTTGAGAAGTTGGGTACTCAACAAGAGAAACTTCACTAACCAGGACATTGATGACATGTATTCATACTTCGGATTAAAGGTAGATTGTCCAGATTTGTTAACTAAAATTTGGCTAGCTCATCATGCTAATAATACCAACAATCATCTTGCTTTTTTGCCTAGATTGCCATTTACTTTGCTTTCCTTCGGATGTATGCCCGTTGGACAGTGTTTCCTGCTCTACTGGCAGTCACAGTGCAGTTGGTCAATTTTGGGTAAAAGCCTTCAAACATATCTTCTTTCCCTTCCTTTTCCTTGCACTCTTGTTCTGGTTATGAACCGTTTGGTTCTCTCGTTTTAATCAGCTCGATGCAGTTCTTAGTCCTCCCTGTGTTCTTCACAAGCACAACCTTATGGGCTGTCTTGTTTTTCCAGTTCTGGAAACGGAAGAATTATTCCCTTATATCGAGGTATGCCAGTATCTTGATGTCATTATGGTGTCCGTCTTACACAACATTTTTATTTATCTCTCTTGTGTATGGATCGTGGTGAATAGGTGGCAGATAAATTGCTCAGTTACGGCAGGACAAGGATACAAGTTCTTAGGAATGGAATGCACTTCCATAAAGACTCGACTAGAGCTGCTGAAAGCTATGGGGGATAGGAATAGAGAGAAAGCAGTGTATCAGAGATACGAATGGTTCGGCCACCTGGTTCGGTTCAGGAACAATGCTCTTATTATCTTAGGCATTGTTTGTCTTCAGTTGCCCTTTGAACTGGCCTATGCTCATCTCTATGAGGTTCTTAAGTCCGACATTACCAAGTAAGATATGAATTCGTCGAATACAAAAACAATGACACACTTTGAATCACCCTTCTCTGACCCTTTTCTGTTTCAGGTTTGCATTAACCGCTTGCTATATTATTCTGATCCAATACTTTACAAAGCTAGGAGCTAGAGTATCAGTGAGGCTCATAAAGTATGAAAACAATGAGAACTCACAGTTTCAGGCTGACAGCTTGGTGTACAAAGTAATTTGATCCAACAATCGGCATTTCATGCTTACTTTCTTAATTTCAGTTGCATTGGGTTCACATAAAGTGATTATATGGTGGCAGGTATTCGGGTTGTACTTCATGCAGTCGTACATTGGAGTTTTCTATCATGCACTTCTCCACCGTAACTTCACGACCCTTCGTCAGCTGTTGATCCAGCGTCTCATTATCTTCCAGGTAAAAGCACCCATTCGTCTTCAGGTGCTGAGAAAACCTCTTGGTGGCCTTTGGGTTAACTGGTTTGGGATCAATATATTGCATAGGTATTGGAGAATGTGTTGGAACATTCACTACCTTACATCAAGTACAGCATCAAGAAGTATAGGGATGTCAGGTAAGGTCCTTCTCTGTCTCTCTCTCTGTGCTACATTGTTCCATGTGTTGTTTTGATTAAGAACATCTTTCTACTATAAAGAAACAAGAAACACCGACGCAGTGGATCAGGCAACAAGAAGGTTCATTTCCACTCTAAGGTGGAGAAAGAGTACCTAAAGCCTTCTTATAATGCAAGCATAGGCGATGAATTAGAAGACGGCCTTTTTGATGGTAAGCCTTAACTTCAATTTGTTAGATATCTCTAGGTTTAGGGTTCAACTCTGACCTGGAAGTTTTCTCAAGGTTGGATTTAACAACATTTTCTTCCATACAAATAACGGTGGAATCTACACTGGTCTGAATAGCAAGTGCTTCTCTAGCTACTGCTTCAATCTGACCTCTCTTTTTCCTTTCCTTTTTTGCAGACTATTTGCAGTTGGCATTGCAGTTTGGAATGATTATGATGTTTGCATGTGCATTTCCCCTGGCATTTGTCTTTGCTGCCGTGGTTTGTTCCATTTCCCCTTGAACTATTTGAATCCACTTACGCTGAAAATTTTCGGACCTTCACACTTGGGATGGGAGTCTTCTTCTCTTGCAGAACAGCTTCACGGAGGTTAGAACAGATGCACTGAAGCTGCTCACTATGTTCAGAAGGCCCGTCCCTCGTGCTGCTGCCACTATTGGAGCTTGGATTAACATATACCAGGTATCTCACAAAGACCAACTTTTTTCTGTTATGTTCAACCAAACCGACTTCAAGAGAACACTTCAGCTTTTTTTCTTTCTGACTCCGACATACTGATATGGAGGCTCTCTCTTTTGAACTTATAGTTCCTAATAGTCATGTCGATCTGCACCAACTCGGTTCTTCTAGTATGCATGTACGATCAGGAGAGGAAATGGCAGATAGAACCAGGACTTGCAGGAATTCTCATCATGGAACATGTTCTTCTGCTGATTAAGTTTGGATTCTCTCAGTTCGTTCCTGAGGTACATGAAAAATTGCTCCTCCCACTTAAAATCATAGTAAATGAGCATCCCGGGTCCTCTTCTGAATTTTTTTTTTTCAGGAACCGGCGTGGGTAAGAGCAAGACGAGTCTGGAACGCAGAGCAAGTGCAGGATGCCTGTGCTAAACAGCTTCTGAAGAGCTTCCCAAGCCGGGAGAAGAATTCAGAAGAAAAGAAGCTGGAGTGAGAAAGACTAACTGTAGGGATAATACAAACCATTATAGACCAAGGTTAGCTGCTTCTTTTCCAATTTTGTAAGCCAAGTAGTCTTCCTTTTATTTTTCCTTTCTTTCTTTCGATTTGTTTCTTCCCATTGTTATGCTATATTCCTTCTGTATAGCAGAACATATCGAGTTCTATTCAGTTCATTGAAGAAATTGAAATGAAATCAGATGAAAAGAAGAGAAAAGATCTTTTCTTCAATGGACTAGCTAATTGAATCTGTACAGGTCAAATGTTAGTTACAAAAGACATGAACATTATGATTATTGATGAAATCTTTCATAATCTTGGTGATATTTATGATGACGATGTTGAGAATGGTGGTGGTAATGACGATGGTGATGGTGAAGAAGAAGAACCGGAGGAGCTTCTAATCCTGCTGCTCTTCCTCAAGGAGCTACCAAGGTGGCCACTGTCTTGCCGGGCATAAGCTGCAACAGCTTTAGCCCATCTCTTGATCTCAGCTTTCAGCTTCCCGGAATCTTGCTTCTCCATTGGCGTCTTAGGCTCCATCAACACCTCCTTGAACGAGAACGACTTGCCAAATCTCCAACGTTTTGTGCCATTTCCTGCAGCATGATTGTTTGACCTCAACAATAGCTTGCCTATTGTTGTTTTTTGTTTCGAGCAGACAGGCTGCTCTTCTTAACAGACATTTCAAAAGGGGGTAGTGTTGGAACTTGGCTATCAAGGGTGTAAGCTTGTTCTTATTATGGCGAGAACCCGCCAGTGTATTCTAGCTTTTTTCTACTAATTAAGTCTGCTGCCCTTTTATTCAACTCAATCCTCTTTATATAGATGAGAAAGCCGAATGATCGAGTTCACAGATTGATACCCTGATCTTTTACGATTTGGCAAATCTGCTGATTCTCCCTACACTTATCAAAGCTTGGAAATCCTAACAGCTACGAAATCTAAACAAAGAACAAACAACCCAACAATAATGCAATCAAATCCTAACTACCAAGCTTCCTATGCAAGCAGCAATACTCTCCCATCTTCTGGCCCTTCTTGGTCAGCCACGAGAAGGCTCTTCTTGAGCCTCTGTCTTTGACTTACGGCGTCCACGTGTCACGAGCCCATCATTGCCACCCTCTGGGAGAAGGGCCTTGTCCTCAAGGCCTGAGTCGGCAAAGCGGTCGAACAGCTCGGCAGTCAGCTCCCAAGTAGAATCTTCAGAGGGTAAAGCTCGCCATTTAACTAAGGATTCTTCGATAATCTTGTTGCCTTGACGAACCCAACGTGTGTCAAGGATAGCTTCTGGAATTAGCTCAAGAGCTCCATCGTCAGCAAGGGGTGATATAATGGAACTCGGCGGTGTTTCGAGCGTGGTGCAGCGGCGATTTAGGGACACATGGAACACCGGGTGTACCCGTGAACCCGCTGGCAGCCCCAGACGATAAGCGACTGGCCCGATGCGTTCGGTGACACGATATGGGCCATGGAAGCGAGCAGCTAGCTTCTGAGAAGCTCGACGGTAGACCGAGTGCTGTCGATATGGGTGGAGACGCAGGTACACCATGTCACCCACATTGAATGTCTCATCCCTCCTCCCGGTGTCAGCTTGTTGCTTCATCCTCGACTGTGTGTTCTGGAGGATGATCTTCACTTCTTCCAGCACCTCATTCCTGTCGAGCAAGGTCTGGTCAACCTCATGCACCATGGTACCACCCCGTTGATAAAAGGGAATTGCTGGCGGCAACCTCCCATAGATAGCTTGGAAAGGAGTCATGCCGATCGATTGATGGTACGTTGTGTTGTACCAGAATTCAGCCCATGGGAGGCAGGACATCCAACGCCGTGGTTGTTGGTGAGTGAAGCATTGTAAGTATTGCTCGAGACTGCGGTTGACCACTTCCGTTTGCTCGTCGGTTTGGGGATGGTATGAGGACGACATGGGCAGTTGAGTTCTTGACAGTCTAAACAGTTCACGCCAAAAATTACTGATAAAGATTGGATCCCAATCACTTACTATGGAGCGGGGAATGCCGTGAAGCTTCACGATCCCCTGAATGAATGCATCCGCGACTGTCTTGGCGGTGTAGGGGTGTGATAACCCCATGAAATGGGTTGCCTTTGTTAATCGATCAACCACCACAAAAATGACTGTCTTGCCAGCTGATGACAGCAGTCCGTCAATAAAGTCCATCGACAGCTCGTCCCATACGAGGGTGGGAACCGACAAAGGCTGGAGAAGTCCTGCAGGTGCAAGAGATTGACTTTTTGCTCGTTGACAAGTGTCACATTTGGCGACGAACCTCTTAACAGTCTCCAACATCTCCGGCCAGAAGAATTGAGCTGCCAATCGCTTGTAGGTTCGTAGCACTCCTGAGTGGCCGCCCGTCGGGGTAGCATGGTACTTCGTCAGCAGTTGACTGATCAGAGGTGAGTCGGGAGACAGAACAAGTCGCTTGTCGTAGAGAGGAATATCTCCTAATCGGGAGACAGAACAAGTCGCTCGTCGTTGAATTGGGAAGAAGGTTTGGCGGCAGCCCCTCATTTTGGGCAGTGGCCAACTTATTTGGGCCATGGAAAGGGACCTTATTTGGGCCATCGTCATGTACTTCAGTTGGTTGAGCTCAGGGTGAATTTGTAGCAGACGACCCATCATCGCTATCACTTGAGGGCCTGCGAGATAGTGCATCAGCTGCCTGATTTTCGTTACCTGGCCTGTACAGAATCTCATAATCATATCCCAATAATTTCGCCACCCATTTTTGCTGCTCGGGAGCTGTAATCCTTTGTTCCAACAAGAACCTCAGGCTACATTGATCAGTGCGGATAAAGAATTTCCTCCCCAGCAGGTACGACCTCCAGAACTGAATTGCAGCAATGACCGCCAACATTTCCTTAGCATACGCCGACAATCCTTGCCGCTGGGTACCCAAGGCGCGACTCATAAAGGAAATGGGTCGTCCTTCTTGCATGAGAAGGGCCCCTAACCCGAGCTCTGAAGCATCTGTCTTGACAACGAAGGGTTTGGAGAAGTCGGGCATAGCAAGGGTTGGCGTGGTAGTCATGGCTATTTTAAGAGCCTCAAATGCCTTGGTGGCCTCTTCCGTCCAAGAAAATTGTCCCTTCTTCAGCAGTTGTGTTAATGGCCGTGCAATGAGCCTGTACCCTTGTACGAACTTGCGGTAGTATCCGGTGAGACCGAGGAATCCTCGCAGTTTAGTGATGTTAGTGGGTCGCGGCCACTGAACCATAGCCTGGATCTTGGTGGGATCCACTTTGACGCCGGTAGATGTGATGATGTGGCCTAAGTACTCAAGTTCGTGGAGCCCAAAAGCGCATTTGGAGAATTTCACAAAAAAACTGGTGTTGCTGGAGGATCGAGAATACCTGTCGAAGATGCTGGGCATGAGCGGCATGGTCCTTGCTACAGACGAGGATGTCATCGAAGAACATCAACACGAATTTGCGGAGGTAAGGCCTGAATATGTCATTCATCAAGGCTTGGAAAGTTGACGGCGCGTTGCATAACCTGAATGGCATCACAAGGTATTCGTAATGGCCGTTGTGGGTTCACAATGCCGCTTTAGGAATGTCGTCCTCGTGCATCCTGACCTGGTGATAACCTGTCCGTAGGTCTAACTTGGTGAAGTAAGTCGCCCCGTGCAACTCATCCAGCATGTCGTCGACGATCGGAATGGGGAACCTATCTTTTATGGTAACGACATTGAGAGCGTGGTAGTCAGTATAGAACCTCCAGGTTCCATCTTTCTTTTTTACTAGGAGCACCGGCGATGAGAACAGACTCGTGCTAGGTTGAATGAGCCCATCTTGTAACATCTTCTCGACATGCTCCTCAATCTCTTTCTTTTGAAAATAAGCATACCTATAAGGTCGGACATTGATTGCATCCGTGCCCTCCTTAAGTTGGATACGATGGGTGACGGCTCGGGGTGGAGGTAGCCTCATGGGCTCTTTGAAGAGATCTCCAAACTCCCGAATGATCTCTTGAAACTCGGCTGGAACCTGTTAGAGTTCCTCGACATCTGTCGATGGTATGCATATGGTGCGGAGAACTCCATGCGGCACGTCTTTGAGGAGGCTCTTAAGTGATTCCGTAGTCTGGACCTTAGGGGTTAATCCAACTAACCTTCGACGTTCCCCTTTCCAATCGAAGTCCATCGTCAATTTTTTCTAATTGCATAAAACGTTGCCTAATAAAGCCAACCATTGAATACCAAGGACGATGTCTACTCCCACCACATTTATGGAAAAAAGAGAAAGAGAGACAGGTAGGCAATGGTCGGCTGCAATATGGGTGGCAACAAAGTTGTGGGTGGAGCCGCTGTCCACTAACACCAGTACTTGGGCCGAACCCAATTTAGCCCACACCCGCAAGGTTCGTCCCGAAGACAGTCCCGTTATTGCGTGGAAGGAAATTTCTGTATCTTCTTTTTCTATCTCGACGTCGCCAGTTTCCTCAGCCCCATCGCAGAGCAACAAAACAGGTCGCTTACAACGGTGACCTGGCACGAACCTTTCATCAAAATTGAAGTATAGACCCGCAACCCTCCACTTCTGTTGCTCGTCCCTAGGAAGGCGTCGAGCGATTTGGGCTCGTCCTCGCGGTGGCGGTTCGTCCAAGTTCTTGTTGGTAGGCTCGTTAGTGATTCGAACGGTCGGACGGGCAGCAACTCTAGTTCGTCGAAGTTGCTCATCTCGAATGCGCGCTAGGAGGATTGCTTCTTTTAGGGATTCGGGACGGAACAACCTTAGAGTTTCGGAAATCTCCAACCGCAGGCCCCCCATGAACGCTGAGTCCACCCTTGAACTTTGTTACCCAAGCGCTCAAATTCCCTCTGGTAATCTCGTAGAGTCCCCGTCTGCCGGATTTGGGAGAGCGCCTCGTCAGCCTCATCCTCGTCGGCCGGTCCAAAGCGAGTCCAGAGTTTGCCGTAGAAGATTTCCCATGTGACGTGAACGCCGTCTTGGGCGTAAGTCTTTTGCAGCCAACGCCACCATTGGTTGGCCTCACCTTCCAAATGATAAGAAACCAACGGAACCTTCAGATCTTGCTCGACATTTTGATACTCAAAGAACTGATCGACACGAGTGAACCATTCCGTCGGGTCGTTTCCAGCGAATCGAGGGAATTCCAACTTTGTGTACCTTGTAGGATACAAGGGTCGAGGTGGTTCTTCCTGGCGGTCATATCTGGCGTGGTTGAGCGGTTCTTCCTGGCGCTCATAACGACCATAGAATGTGCGCCGCTCGTCGCGATCATTTAGATGTTCTTCACGACGTTATTCCCGGTGATCGTCTCTTTCCTCCTCGACCCTTGCTCCCCTCCTGTCCCCCCGGTGGAAGTGGAGGTTGGACCCGGCAGAGGATCGATCAGCGTTGGGAGCAGGAGGTCTGCATTGGAGGAGTCGGAGGATTTCGTCGATGCTGGCTTGAGCGGTGGCAGAGTGTAAGCTTGTTCTTCTTATGGCGAGAACCCGCCAGTGTATTCTAGCTTTTTTTCTACTAATTAAGTCTGCTGCCCTTTTATTCAATTCAAT